CTCCTTAAAATGCAAAGTCTATATCTAACTCTCAACCATAGAATTTTTACAGTACTGGCTAGTTATTTTTATTCTTTGTTTTGAATGCATTCGGTTAGCAGCATCTCAGCATCTAATGCCAAAATTTAATTATTTTGAACGCAATTGTATTCTTTCAACTGTATTGTTGTTCATTTTTGCTTTAGATATGCATTGTTGGAAATATTACCATAAATAATAAATATGGAGTTTTGTTAGGTTGATTTTGTTTAGCAGCATATTGATCTCTATGGGTTATTTAATGCCAAAATCTAATTATTTTTTTAATAATTTTATTCTTTCAACTTATCGTAGCCTTTTGCTACTTTGCCCACATGACCAAGGGCAGACCTTATGTCTTCATGACCTTGACCTTTTCTTCATTGCATTGCCACACACCCTGCAATTTAATTTCATTTAGGTTCAGGATAGACCTAATGAATTTTTAGTTTTTTTTAGTGTTTCGCACCAATTTGAAATACCTTTTGTGAACATTTTTAATCTTTTATATTTCGTAGCACATATCAGTTTATTTTTCTTGAGCTTTTTTAGCTCTTTGCAGGACCGCTTAATGTTTACTTTTCTTTTCCATGTAACACGGCAACTTCACACTGAAAAGGATGAGAAATTGACATGCAGACTCCTGGTCAGGGTGCTTGGATGGTTATGTATTGAATTTCGTGCCCATTTATTTTTGCCAGGAAACTGGATGCTAGTTGGGCTTTCCTATCTTCCTATCCACTCTTACTTCCAGCACTCTACCTCAGCCCTTTATAATTTTGGGCTACCAAGGCCCCCTAGCTTCCAGCATTTCTTTCTTTAATTCCTCTGTTTCCAATCTGTGCATACTTCCAGCTCTCACAGAATCTGACTCCCAGTATTCTTGGCCTTTACTACTTCCATCTACCACAGACCCTTATCTTCCTGTTTACTTGCCTTTCATTGCTCTTACATCAGCCTAACTCACCTGGTTGATCGACATTAATAGACCTGCTTACAACAGCCTTGAACATCTGGTTACAACATGGCCCCTTCTTCTGGTATGACTATCTTGACCTAATTCACTTGGTTGATTGGCATTAATGAACCTGCCACAACAGCCCTGAACTTCCAGCTACACTAGGTCCTTGCTTTCCTTTCAATCTAACTCACCGGATTTAGGAAATTGATGCATATCACCCAGACTCAAACAACCTACTCCATCCACTTCAGTTAAATTATTATGGAACATTCATCATTGGATTTGACCAGCACTAGTACATTTAAATGGAACTTTCTTCTCTTTGGCTATATTGTCCAGACTTCAAATAACTTATTCCGTACACATCGCTTAAAATACTATAGAACATTCACCATTAGTCCTGAGAAGCAACTTTTAACACTTTCACCGGACATGTGAACTTAAATTTCAAACTGTGGACTTACATTTTAATTTAACCTACAAGGATTCTGGTTCGTATTCTAAATAAATTTGTATTAATTTTGAATATCTTCATTCTGTTTTTTATTTTTGTTTCACTTGTCAGATTTTATGTTAATGGGCCTCTGGTGAGTTTTACTTATTTTGGGTGCTCAAGCCAATTTATATTACATCTACTCAAGAGGGTCCACTACAAACTACAGATATTTTATACTTTGTTTTTTAAATACTAGAATTTTTTGCAACACACTGATATGCTGAAATCTTCACAGTATTTAATATAGTGTTGCTAACATTTTTTGTCGAGATTTACAAACTTTACATTTCATTCAATTTCGTAAACCAATCTATGAAATTCGTTTAGGAAAATACTTTGACAAAACCTCTACTTGAACTTACCCATTTGCTCTTTTCCCCAAAATTTAGTTTCAGTCGATCAATGTATATTTTAGAGACTGTGACGGACAGACAAACTAACATAAATTACAGAATGCTATATATAGACAGATATATATATTTTTAGATCATAAAATCTATTGTTACTCATTTTATAAAAATATACTGTGGATTTTTGTTGGAGGGTTTACTATTTGCCCATAGCTGGGACCCTAACAGGTGCTACCACCCAAGGTCAGTGTGGACCTTTAAACAGCAATTAAGAGATGATTTCACACTCCTCAAAACGGTCAGAGGCCTTGCTGCCGGATGTAGTTTATCGTCATATGATTTTAAATGTATCTTGATGCTGTTGTTGTGTAGGTGCTTTTCGAAGTATGTTTGCTGTACCCTATATGGCAGGTTTTTATAGTATTCGCAAAAGTGTATTTTATTAATCAAGTTGGTTGATTTATTCTTTGAATGTCCCAGTCACTACTGATATGACTTTTTGATATTTTATCCGGCATCTTCTACAACCTATCAGTCTCAACCATCATTTCAAATATCATCTGGCCTTTTCTATTTGCTTTGCTGTCATATTCTAGTTAGCAGGTATATCCACATCAATTATTTGGAATTCATATTCATTCATCTGTGGTGTAGACATGCTAATTAACTATTTTTGGGGGTCATAAATGTTAAAAAAGTGATGGTGAAGGTCACATAAGTGAATTAGCTATTTCCCTACACATTTTAAACTTCTTCATTTGAAAACATTGATAAAACATAATGTTGTAACTTAGGGAAAGTTACTGAATAGAATACTCAAACAAAGGTTGGTAATGAACAATAATACTTAGGACAAGAACAACATATATAAGATTCGCCAGAGGCATGTAGAAGAAATAGTCAACTGCTAGAAGTGAGTCAAGTGAATTTCACAATGAATCTTCAACTGCAGGATATCTACCAACCACCGCACGTGATCAGATGTAGCACAAGGCCGAATTTAATGTGGGGTATCCAAGCCCATAGGCTCGGCCAAAAATTCTCCGTAGACCCTATATAAAATGGGGTCGGGTAGCTGCTTCCCGAGACAAAACTCTGTCCTTCAAGATAGCCTCGTCTGAAGATCCTCTCTGCCCGGGGGCAAAGAGTTTGACCAGCACATCTGGAGACAAATCTCCAACTGCAGGATATCTACCAACCGACCCATACAGTCAGATGTGGCACAAGGCTGGATTTAATGTGGGGTATCTGAGCTCATAGACTCAGCTAAAAATTTACCATATAAAATGGGGTCAGGTCGCTGTTTCCCAAGACAGGACTCTATCCTTCAACAATGCCTCGTCTGGGGATCCTCTCTGCCCAGAGGCAGAGAGTTTGACCAGCACAGCTGGAGACGAATCTCTAACTGCAGAAAAACATACAGTATTTACTACTGTATTTATATGAATGGGGACATACCCATTATCATCCATAGGTATGCTACAACACATGAATAAGACAAAAACAACAATTCACAGATAACAACAATAAGAATATTTTATATAACATGAAATACACAATAAATATGTGTTGGTTGAATTTTAGTGAATGAGAGATTTGCTTGGTGGATTTTAAATTTGCTTTTTAAACTCTTATAATGTTCAGCGTCATGTGAGGTTGAGTTCACTGAATTGAACGTGTTCAAATCCTCACAGTATATATTATATAATATGTGAAATTTCAATAGAATTTGTTATTAGATAAACTTGTCTAAAATGAATATTAAACAGTTTGTAAAATAGTTTCTGAAATGAAATTCGTTTGTCTGCCTTTGTATGTTTTTGTGTGTCAAAGATTGCATAAAAATATCTTACAAAGAATTCTGGAAAGTAGTTTGTTCTTCAGTCGAGAAATAAACTTGATGAACAATAAATTCCAGTGTAAGAATTTTCTGTAGATTCAGTCAAAAATCAAAATTGTGACTGAGAAGTTTTCAGTAAGTAATAAATGAATTCAGAAGTTGGTGAGTGAATGATTGAGTTGAATACTTTAACTTGAATTACAATGAAGTTGTTTTAATGTTGAATAAATTGAAATTCTAACTTTGCACTTCAATGATACAAGCATCATGGACTAGTTTGACAATTGCTAGTCATGCAAAAATGCTCACTGACTAGGTTTCCTCGTGCATTGAATTTATTTGTTTTCTAGTCACGTGATAGGCTCACAAACATGTTTAAAGATTTTGGCAGTCAACTCATTTTAAACACTATTGCATAGGCATTGTTGCCATTTTTCATATATATTTACCAATTGGCAATAGCACTTACAAAAACAAATATGGATCTACTTTGTGTTTAGGATGTACAAAATTTGTTATCAGCAAGAGTAAATACACAGTAAACCTACTTGAATATTTATTATCTAATGAAATTCACTAAATCAAAATAGTATGATAATTAGATACTGGAAATTGGTGTATACAGGTTACACGCTATACATCCATCAATTCGGTTATTATTTATTTATTTATTTATTTATTTATTTTGATTTCAATTGTATACTCATTTCGTTCCGGGTCAAAACCTATGATCAGAAATAGTATTATGACATTCATCAAAACGTAAGATCACTCATGCTTTACATAGATAAAGATCTTCCTCCTCCTCCTCCTCTTCCTCCTCCTCCATACTAACTGCTTTGGTCTCCGGTCAACACCAGTTAATCCTTTTTAGTAAACCATATTGTTTCTTTCTGTCAAATGTGATTAAACAAAGTGGAACAAGGGAAGTAATTTGGTTTGAACAATAAAAAGTGTTTCTTCCCTTAGTAAAGTTTAAAAATTTTTTAATAATTTTAAGTATAATCGTGAAACACAGACATTTAAAGAATAAGTGAAATATGTATGTAGTAATATATTATTTTTCTGAAAACACCAAGGTTTAAACTATATGAGTTTTTTGTTGTAGTCTGAAATTTAAAAAATAATTTAAAATTTATCTAATTTTGTAAATTATCTGACAATTTTTTGTTTTTATTATTATTATTATTATTATTATTATTATTATTTCTAAGGATTAGATTAATTAAATTAAACTAAATTAATTTTTTTTATATTTCCTTTAAAAAGTATGAGTGTCAAAATTAACCAATGAGAATTAGTTTCACAACTTATTATGGCAACAAGTGTTTAGACATGGCGGATGTCAATGGTGACGCTTCCAAATCTAGCAGCAGAAAAAAACAACAGGTAAGTTTAGTTAGAAAGTATTGCAGAAGTATATGATTAGATTGGATGCAAATATATCTTTAAACTGTTCACAAAATTTTGGGGGAAATCGTGCTAGGAATTCACTCGATATGAAAGCTTCATGTTCGTATATCTTTGTTGTCATTTTCCTTGGTAACAACGACGTACATGAAATTAATTTTAAAGTTAATTATTTTTTTTAACTTATGTTATATAAATTAATTTTATTTTTTAAAATTTATCCTTACTAGAATTAATTTTTTTTCTTTGCTTTTAATTAGAAACTGCACTGACTTCATTTTTTTTTTAAATATTTTTTATTTATTTTTTTTCTGTATTTGTGGGGTGATTTTTTTTTATTTGACTTTCTCCTTTGCTTCTTCTGTTTTCTAATTTTTTAAATTTGTTGTATTTATTTATTTTATACATACATACAAACATTCATATATACATCCAAATACACATATACACATAAATAAATAAAAATACATACATACATACATACAAATATACATTATATACACATACATACAAATATACATACACATAAATAAATACATATATACAAATATACATGTAACACATAAATAAACGTACAAATATACATATACATAAATAAATACATACGTACAAATATACACATAAATAAATACATACGTACAAATATACATATGCACATAAATAAAAATACGTACGTACAAATACACATAAATAAATACATACGTACAAATACACATAAATAAATACATACGTACAAATACATACACATAAATAAATACATACGTACAAATATACATATGCACATAAAAATAAATACATACGTACAAATATACATACGCACATAAAAATAAATACATACGTACAAATATACATACATAATAAATAGTAAAAATACATACATACAAATATACGTATACCGTACCCATACGTACAAATACATACATACGTACAAACATTTAGAGATACACCCAAACAAACATAAATGTTTTTGTTTATTGGGCATCGCAATTAAAATAGTTAACAAAACAAACCCAAATTAATTAATTATTTAATTAATTTATGTAACATTTTTGAGTGCCGAGATGCCATCATAAGATAATAATAACAATAAGCTCGGATAAATTAAGTGCCCCCCACCCACTACCTAAAAAAATTGTAAGAATGAAAGGATCAATTTTCCATGCTTGTCTTCACACCGGCTTACGATTATTAAATAATTACGTACGTCATAAAACACGTTTCCTTCCACACTTTTCAGTTCTGTTAAGTAGGCGATTATCATAGAATTTATTTTTCTTGTACTTTCCCGCGCTAAATTATTTAAATTTGTTTTAAAACTGAAATTAAAATTTAAGTTTGATACCTTATTTTTTTTTAAACATACGTAAATGGTGCATATTCTGAGGTTATTTTAAATAAAATTAGGTTGGCAATTAGAATTTTATTTAAATTCTATATTAGTTAAAAAATATAGAATAGCTGCTTAGCTCCTTTTAATGTTTAGTTTAGTTTTTTCTTTTTTTAATCTTACAAACCTAGAACTAACTTGTGTTTGTAACAAACACAAGTTAGTTGTAGGTTTTAAAAATCTTACAAAAAAAAAAAATATACTTTTCTGAAACTTTATTTGAGGAATATTAGCTGATTTAAATTTCAAAGAAATCTGATTTGAAATAAATATTATTTACATTTTTAAGTTTGAAATGAATTTTTAAGCTGCGTGTTTTGTTTTTGTTTTTTTTTTAAGTTTAACTGATAGTGGCCGTGTTTGACGAGGTGATGACAGATTTACGAAGACTTTATCTGTAAAAAAAACCTTTTTTAATATAATTCTGTGACAAAAAACACGCACCTAACCCTTCTTTTATCATGAGCATAACTAATCAAAATATAATTCTTATTTTTTAATTCAAACCTGTTGTTAACTGTCCTCCTAGCAGTGACGGGAGTCACCTAATTTTGACACCCCCCCCCCCGCTTCCCTTTCGTAGCTAATGTTCTCTTTTTTCTTGAGAAAGCCCAACCAGGGTTTCGCCTCCCAAAAAAACCTTTGATATGGGAACCCCCTCTCAACTACATGTCGATCTTAAAGTTTCCCAATCTGGGGGCTACAAACCCCCAAAGGAAAATTAAAGGAAAAGAGCAGCGCTTTTTTAAATTACCAAAAATCAGGGAATTATTCAGTTTAAATGAAAATTTCAGTACATATTATTTACTTTTATAATGAATACGTTTTTTTTTTTTTTTTTTAAATATATCAGAGAAAATGTCATTTTTTTTTCTAATGATAACCACCAATATTTTCATGACTAAATTTTACTTAAAGAAATGTTTAAGTCACAAATTTTTATGCATATTTTAATTGTCAACACATCTCTGCTGAAAAACAAAAAGTGTCGCAAAGATTCCAACACAACACAAACAGGATTGTTTTAAAAATAGTATTTCAGGTTTTGAGAAAATTTTTCATCTTTAAACATTTTTACTTTTTAAGCGATCATTTTCTCGGTTTTATCTTTCTAGAAATGTCAAAAATAGGGACTATAAATTTTATTTTTATTACTAGCCGTGGACTTCTGGTTAGTATTACTTCTTAGTGGATGATCTCGGAATAAAAAATGATTTTATCAAAATATATTATCCTCTTAATTGATTTAAAAGAACTGTTCAGAAATAAAATTACAATTTAAAAAAAAATATATAAGTGCGACTGAATTTAACACTTCAATATGACAGGGCCAAAAAAAATGACACACTCCCACCTATCTGTCAGGGTTTTCAGTAGTAAGACACACCAGCCCTAAGCCCAACAATTTATTTACCAACAGAATTTTATTTGTTGCCAAGTGAGAATACCTCCTACTCATTCTGTGTGTTTTGAACATTTGTTTCAATCCATGGTTCATTTTTAAGTTGTTACGAACATAACATTTTTCAACAACAGATTTTTACCAAAGGCGGATTTGTTAACAACTCAAAAATTTGCCTGAAATGACATGTTGGTCCAAAATCACTCTTCCTTTGGAAATCATTGTTGTGAATTCAAAGGATTATGTTTTTTAGAGTTAACAATATTTTGGGGTTGTTCTTGAAATCCTGTTTCTCTCTGTTTTTGGTAAAATCTTGTTTTTCTGAAGTTTTTTTTTAAATGAAATCTGTGTTTGGAATTTTCCCTGTTGTGTGCATGTTTGTGCTCGGCAGTGTAAAGTGGAATGAACAAAAACCCAAAGCTTGAAAATAACTGTTCAACAGCTTTTATTTCTGGTTGGAAGATTATGCAAAATAGTATTTTGCATTCCAGTTAACAAAGTTTTGGATCATAGTAGTTGCTTTTGTTGAGAGATTTCTCCACTAGTTCCCACAGGAGGAATGAGAAATCTGAGTGTGAAACTGCTAGGGCAAGCCTTGTCTTCTGAGTTTGAGCTGGGCTTGAAGGTAGAGACCGCTGAAAAGAGAGTGAGCCTTGAATGTAGAGGCCGCTGAAAATGAAAAGTGGAAAAGAGGCCATTAAAGGATGATAAATTTTCACAGATTTTGATGTCATTCTCTGGGGTTTTTTTGTTTTTTTTCTTCATCCAAATCTGTTAATTTGTTTTCCTCATGCTAAGTCTTGAAAAAAAAAAAAATATAATAAAATTCACTAATTTTTATCCATAATGTTGAATGTGTTAAATTATTCAACACTTTAACAAGAAAAATCTCAAGTTGACCTTAAAAATTGCTGCAAAACATTGTTTATTTAAAATGGTATGATCTATTATGACATGTGTCTAATTTGTATTTAGATACATTGGATTTATTTTTAATTTTGTAGTTGAATTGTCATCTGTATTGCATAGGATCCATTATTGTACATAAATTAGGTTACAATAAAATTTGTATTTTACATGGATACAACCTTATGAAAATTTAGATGTAGTAGAGTGGGGTGGGGGGTCCCACATATCATAGATTGGGGAGCACAAGACCTTTGCACTATGACTCTGATGCCATGCATAGCACCAAACCAGTTCTGACGTATATAAACTGCTTGCTGTATATAAACGCTTTCTCAGAGCAATGGTTAAAAATGGCTTTGAGTGAGTGAAGCCTGTAGGTCTTGGTGAGGAACATGCTTCTTCAAACTTTGTGAATTGGCACTGCACAATCACCAAAGAAAGAACTGTACCCCATCACTTGAGGACTTTCAACAATAGCAACAGCTAAAATAGATATCACCTGTAACTCAGTGAAAATAAGGACATAGTCAAGATGGCGACATTCGGACTCTACTTAAAGTTTAGGAAGAAAACCCCCATCAATACTGCAAAGAGTGATAACAACAGATACTGAACTTGAGAAACATGTTTTCCTGAAAAATTGTTTCAAGAGAAAGTTTTTATAAATTTCAATCAACTGGCTACTCTATCAAAGATTGCTGAATATTTCCTTATAAGGAAACAGTTCATATTACTATTACCATTAATATTCAGGAAGTATCATATTTTTTTTTTTTTTTATTTACTTTTTATACTCAAAACACATTGTTGCACTCTCTGGCCTTTTTCAGATCAACCTGAGTCAGACAGTCTTAAATGCCTCAACCTGAGTGTACGTGTTTAATGTCATATTCCTTCAGGCAGAATATAGATGATCATGGCTCTTTACATGTTCCATTTTTTTATTCTCTGTAACTTGCAATGACATTTTAGCTACTTCAATAATTAAATGTGTGAGGTTTCTTACGGGAATATTTTGTAGAGCAGGGAATAATGGTGGTGAAAAAGAACGCATACACAAAATAACAGACCAATTGATTTGAAATACAAAATAACATTTGTTCAAACAAAAGAAATGGAAAGTTTTAAACAAGAGATTCTTTTGGTAAATGGCATACACAACAAAATGTTCATGAATATGTTATAGTTGAACTTATTGGTGTGTTATAGTGTGAAGCGTTCACAGATCTTTTAGCTTCAGTATGGAAAATTCATTTCACCAGTTTGAAAGAGAAAAACCCA